AATAAGTGTGACGCTTTGTTTTGCGTTCATATATATGTACATACATACATACGTACATAGACATATAAAATCACACACACACATACATACATACATAAATACACACACAAATACATATTTACAAACATACATCATACACAGACAGAAAAAGAGAGAAGAAGAAGAGAGAGAGAGAGAGAGAGAGAGAGAGAGAGAGAGGATAACATGTGCATAATCAATCAGTGGAGCGATATTGTCATATTTTATTGCAAACGTTCTATCACATCAGTTTGTTATTGCCTCGTCTCTTAGCTCCTAGTACTGCTACTACTACTAGTACTACTACTACTACTACTACTACTACTACTACTGCTACTACTACTGTACTACTACTATTACTATTACTACGACTATTACTACTGCTACTACTACTACTACTGTACTACTAATACTACTACCACAACTATTACTAAGATGCTAATATGATTCTAATACAACAACAACATTTGCAAATATTTTAATTTATTTTTTGTATCGGTTCGGTTTTTACAACTTTAGTCACCAACATGCAATTCAAACTTTTCTAATATTAACTATTAACTGCTCTTTCATGTTTTGCTGCTAGTGCAGCTACTACTACTACGATCATCAGCAGCGACAACATCGTCGTCGTCGTCATCATCATCCCCCTCTTGTTCGTTATCATCATCAACAGCATAACATACCAACATCACAATCATCATCATAAACAACAACACTAGCAACATTATACAGCATCATCACCATCATCGTCACCATCTTCATCATCATCGTCGTCACCATCATCATCATCAACAACAACTTCAACGAACCACATAATTATATGCCGGCGGACAATGAATCACACATAATAACAATTATGTTAATAAGAATTATGATGATGATGATGATACTACTACTACTACTGCTACTACTACTACTACTACTACTACTATTATTACTATTACTACTACTACTTCTACTACTATTTCTACTACTACTACTACTTTTACTACTACTATTACTACTACTACTTCTACTACTATTACTACCACTACACACACACATACATATATATATACATACATATATATATATATATATATATATATATATATAGAGAGAGAGAGAGAGAGAGAGAGAGAGAGAAAACCAAAAAGAAAAAAAATATATATATATATATATATAACGCATTCATAGCAGTAATGACCAGTTCGACGCAATGAGAAGCTTTTAATTTCCAAAATATTTCATTGATGTCTCGGCTGTTTGTCCGCTTGTGCGTGAATCCATGCTGTCCCCTCCTCCCTTGCGTGCACACTCTCTAAAATGCATGTTCATTCTTTCTTTCTTTCCCTCTTTTTCTTCCTCTTACCCTCTCTCTCCTTTGCTTTTGTCTTTCTTTTAGTTACTCTAATTTTCATTTTATGTTATTCAACCATTTTATTCTCTTTTTTCAAATTTGAGGTTCTTTTTGTAAAAATAGCATTCTAAGATAGTCCATAACTTTTGAAATAATAACTATCGCCTTGAGATGTATGCACATTTCTAGAGTGGATTCAGTCAGATATTTCCGATGGATTAATTCAGATTATGACGTTGATTTGATTAGTGGTGCTACATTTTGTCTCCTTGCACTGATGTCTGTCTGTACACTGCTATGTAATTCGCACGTTCAAATCATTCTACATTGTTCTGCTGAGGAGTAATCGAAAGACATTAATCAGAAGACATTAATCAGAAGACATTAATCAGAAGACATTAATCAGAAGACATTAATCAAAAGACATTAATCAGAAGACATTAATCAGAAGACATTAATCAGAAGACATTAATCAGAAGAATAAAAAAACTTTTGCCTTTTCTTGATGATCCTACTCTTCTCCTTCTTGTTACTTCGTTAGTCTTATCTAGGATTGATTATTGTAACTCGCTCTACTATGGTCTTCCTGACTCTATACTCTATCCTTTAAGTAAAGCTTTTAACTCTGCTGCTCGTCTAGTTGCTCGTGCCCCTTTCTTTTCTCATATATCTCCATATCTTGTTCTCTTGCACTGGCTACCTATAAAATATAGAATAATTTTTAAAATTTGCACGTTCATGTATAAGTCTCAATCTAAATTATTTCCTAAGTACTTATCAGATATATTAATTGAACCTAAACGCCCCGGTTTACGATCGTCTTCTTCTTCTCGCTTTTTCTTAACTCGTGTTAAACACTCTTTTGCCAAATCTACTTTTGCTTTTTCTGGTCCTTTTCTCTGGAACTCTCTACCTACTTCTCTAACTATTTCTCCATCACTTGCGAAGTTCAGAGCGGATCTCAAGACCCATCTGTTTTCAAAATTCATTGAGGT